TAGTGTACATATGAACACAATATGAACAGTTTGTGAACAATAGTTCCTTCATTACAAACACATTCAGGAGCAAGACAATGTTGAGATATGCAGCTAGTGCACATGTGAACACAATATGAACACTTGTGAACAATTCTTTAACAATTACATATGAATTAGAATTCTGATTGTAGTTGTAGACGATTTTAACCTTTTTCATTCTCATTGTTGTCGATCTGTTTTCCAATAGGTTTATCCATATTACTTGGATGATATCGAAATCTTTACAATCAGAAATTCTTTAACAATTACAAAATCAATATCATTATGGATAAAATAAATCGAAATTACAAAACATGAACACATATAAAAAAAATATCAACATTACATAATCATCAATTATTGAGATTTTTAGATTTGTAACTCCCAATTAATGATTTGGGAGTTACATAAATGACAAATTACTTAATTACCCTTGTCATTAATATATGAGTTATATGTGAACCTAAAGAAAAAATGGAATATGATTGGTCGAGTTTGGTTAACAAAGTTAACACAAAAATCTTGGTTAGTATTTGAACCAACCCCTATATAGATATATATATATATAGGATTGGGTTCACGTGAGACCAAAGGTTTTTGTGAGACCCATAAGACCAATTTATGTTCATTGATCAACTTTAAGCTAATGATCTAATGGTCTAAAGTTGTACGGTGACAATTTTATGATTATTGAGAAATCGTGTGGCAATTTTGTGATTATGAATGTTCAGATTGTAGATCTAATCCAATAGTTGAAAATTGGTCTTACGGGTTTCACGAAAAACCATTGGTCTCATATGATCTCAAGTCTATATAATATATATATATATATATATATATATATGGCCTTAATTAAATGAGAACTGATTAGTTTGTGGTAACTGTGAGATCCAATCTCAACCACAAATCAACGGATAAATTAGAAAATTAATAATTATGGTAGTTTAAGTTAAAATTATAATTAAAGGGCATTTTAGGTATTTTTTAAAAACTCGTCTGTCCTCTCTTCTATCTCCTCTATCATCTCTCATCTCTCCGACCTCCAATCTCCGGGCTCCGGTGAACAAAAATCCGGTAAGTACCAAGTAATCACAAAGATACACAATGTGATACTCATTGTGATATACAGTGGTACTCAAATGGTATCACAGTATATGACAATGGGTATCACAATATGTCACAATGGGTATCACATTGTGTATCTTTGTGATTACTTGGTACCTGCCGGATTGTTGTTCACCGGAGACCGGAGATTGAAGGTCGGAGAGATGAAAGATGAGAGAGGAGAGAGGAGTTTTTTAAAAATACCTAAAATGCCCTCTAATTATAATTTTAACTCAAACTACCATAATT